ATTTCTCAGTTTTAATTTCTAATATGGTGACTACTGATAGATATAACCCAAGTGGAGAAAAACTCTTTTGTGTCCTCGATAGCTTTTAAGATATAGGAGAATCCAGCTGTCTTCTATCAAGCCAGACACTAGAGATTTGCAAAAAATAAGACAGTGACATTCTTCTCACTATTTTTTTGTTTTGAAAAATAGTTATTTTTATTTTTAAAATGTGTTACTTTATGTTAACTTATAACAGGGGCCAGGCACGGTGGCTCACATCTGTAATCCTAGAACTCTGGGTGGCTGAGGTGGGAGGATCACTTGAGGTCAGGAGTTTGAGACCAGCCCGACCAAGAGCCAGACCCCATCTCTACTAAAAATAGAAAAATTAGCCAGGCATGGTGGCATACACCTATAGCCCCAGCTACTCAGGAGGAGACAGGAGGATGTTAAGAATATCTGCCTTACACTTTGGGAGGCCAAAACGGGAGGATGACTTGAAGCCAGGAGTTCGAGACCAGCCCGACCAAGAGCCAGACCCCATCTCTACTAAAAATAGAAAAATTAGCCAGGCATGGTGGTGTGCGCCTGTAGCCCCAGCCACTTAGGAGGCCGAGGCAGGAACATCACTGGAGCTTTGGAGTTTAAAGTTGCTCTGAGCTAGGCTGATACCACCACACTCTAGCTGTGGCATCTAGACTCTTTCTCAAAGAAAAAAAAATGTAACAGGTCTATTTTACTGTTATTTTTTAATGAATTAATATACATTCTTACATTTCTAAATTAATATCTAATATGATAAACATTGATAGATATAAATGCACATAAAACTCTTTGAGAATGTAATTGTTAATGTGCAAAGCAGTTCTAAATTCAAAAAGTTTGACAGCCACTGCATTAAAATATGGTATGTATTATATACTGAATGTGTCCCCACAAAATTCACATGTTGAATCCCTAACCCTCAATGTGATAGTATTTGTAATGGCCCTTGGGAGGTAATTGGGGTCAGATGAGGTCATGGGGTGGGGCCTTCATGATGGGATTAAAGCCCTTACAAGAAAAGACCTCAGAGAATTTGCTCCTGCTCTCCCTGCACACAAAGAGGTCCTTTGAGTACACAGGGAGAAGGCAGCAGTTTCCAAGCCAGGAAGAGACCCCTCATGTAATCCAACCCTGACAACACCCTGATCTCCACCTTCCAGCCTCCAGAACTGTGAAAAATAAATTTCTGTTGTTCAAGCAATGAAGTCTCTGGTATTTTTTTTACTACAATGGGAGCTGACTAATATAGTTTTGCAATAGCAAAATGTCTGGAAACAATCCGAAAGTTCATTAATAAGAGAATGGCTCAATAAATTGTGGTTACCTCCAAACAATGGAACACTATGGAGACGGAGGAAAAAGACACTCCCTGTACTGACTCAGGATGGCAAGATTCAGAATAGCGTGTTAAAAAAAAAAAAAGGAAAATAAGAACATATCGAAACATTTTACTTGCATGTAAACCTCCCCTACAATTCACTATATTTTACATTTTCGAGAACTCTTCCCACTGTTCTTCCGTTCCCTCCACAATGTACCTCTGTGGCATAGCAGACACTTCACGTTTTTGTATTGCAAGACAAAGCATTATCACATGCAGGATAACTTAGGTAGGAATAAACACTGTCTGGGGAAAGTCAGGTTATTTTGAGTTTTAATGGAGTTCAAGAAGTTTCTGAGGTGCTTATGTGAGTGCAAGAGCAACAGGGTCTCGGTCTTACCGGGTCTTGAGGCTAGCAGGCCACAGAGCATGGCGAGCAGCATCATTAAGCCGAACATGATGTGGTTCCTCGGCTCCAAGCGGGGACTGACTGACTTGAGCAGGCGGCTGTTGGGTGGGCGGGAGGCGGGACGCGCAGGCGCGAGGGGGCGTGGCGTGGCGGGGGCGGGGTCGAAGCTGCGGCGCTTACGTTGCCCCAACCGCCGGCCTGTTCCCTGGTCTCGTCCTCCACAAACTGCCAAAACTGTGACGCTTCCGCGCGCTCTTCTGTCTCACACTTCCTGGGTGCTTTTAAAAGCGAATTCGTGATACTTTCTGAATTAAAAACCACACACACACACACACACACACACACAC